TATTATTATTATTATTATTATTAAAATGAAACAACCATGTCTGATAAATCTTACATAAGTAAACAAAAGCATTGTCTAGAGACAATGTGAAACCTTCTTCCAAGAGGAATTCAGGGATGATCCCCCTCTTTCATCAATCTCCACTTTTCCTGTGATTTCAATTTTGGTCTATAGATTTATACTTTATTACCATACTGGGGGGGAAGAAGCTGGTGAGGCAAGCTTATCTGCTTTCCCTCCTTTCTCCTTGTTTTGAGGTACAAGCATGCTCAATAAGGGATTCTGGAGGCGGCTGCCATTTACCTTGCCTGTTGTAGGCAGGCACACATCACTACAGTAGGATTAGCTAGAGTAGAATCCTATTCTTTCCTAGTTCCAGCTTTATTATATGGTTTCCTGTAGACACATTTCTGCAAGCTGGCATTTAAAGTCTGCTCTTCATCCTTGCAATGCTGCTGCTAAAAGGAAAAATTATAGTGAGGAAGATGACAACAAAGAAAAAGGGGGAATGGGAAGACATTAAAAGGACTTTGCAAAAGGGAACTTCTTTGTTGGAGACCTTGTTGTAGAATTATGTGTATTAAGTTTTTCACACAGCTAAAAAATGTACCTTAACTTGCTCAGTTTGAATCCTCTTCCAGGATGCAGCCAGGTTCTATTGCTCGCATTTTGCTGTTGATGCCACCTCCCACCCAAAACCTGGCTACAAGCCACCCTCAGCTGGCCAGTTTGAAAAGTCAGTAGCTTCCCGACTTTGCAAATTGGCCAGCCACCATTCTAGCTGGGTTTTAGGTGGGATGCCACCAGGAGGCAGCAACAGTGACAAAATGCAAGCGATAGAACCCGGCTGCATCCTGGAAGAGGATTCAAACCAGGCAAGGTAAGTCATATTTTTTAGCTGTGCGAAAACCTCCTATATTTGAGGAGAAATTAGCTGAATTTGTTGTACTTATCTTTTCCATTTCCTAAATCAGGTGCAGGTTGCAAGCACAGGGAGTAGAGAGGATTGTAAATTATTTTGCCTCTACCAATTACCTGATCTTTTTTGAGTCTCTCTAGATAACTACTGTGTATGGCAGTGAGCCAGATTCTGGGGCTGAGTTGCCCTAGTGTCACCCCTTCACAATGTCACCATCATTTGGCAATTTCCTATTTTTTTTTTATATGAGTCCCCACTCCATTCTAAAAACATTGAATTGGCTTAGGCTCCTAAGTATTGAAAATGAGAGCTTTAAGTTAATATATTCTTGGTCCTACTTTTCTGCCTTTGGCTTTGTCAGCACAGCTAGAATGCAGACCCCTGAGAACCTCTCTGAAACTGAAGTCAGCCCTTGGACTGAAGGAACTCCCTCATCCTTAGCATATAGGGAATGTCTGTTGAGTGTGGGCAAGAATTAGTTTATCCCTCATCCAACCTCCATGGGCTTATGAGCACTGTAGATAATAACTCTCACATAAATACTAACATTTACTGGCAGTGTGGCTGTAAGATTATGTAATGGCATTTTTATTATACCTTGAGTGGATTATTAAAATCATTTTATAGCAATAAAACACTCAATCGTACATTGGATGTGCCACATAAAAATGTAACCATAAAGTTGCCTAACATGAGAGCTATACATTACATGTTATTATGGACTGGGATTGAGGTTTGGTCTGAATGACCTTCTAGGGATCTCTTATGGATCAACAATAACATACTCTCCAACTATTTCAATTAATCCTTTGTTCTCCCATATTTCCCCAGCTGCTTTAAAAATGTCCCAGTTTCCCTCTCCTTTGCCCACTTTTCCCTTTTCTCCACAGCTTACTTCAATTGCTGCAGAGTGAGTTTAAAGTGCAAAAGTAGTTTACACTCAATCAGTGGCATAACTGATTGAGCGTACAGGCAAAAACAAACTATTGAAGCCTCTCCTAACTTATGTGTCTTTATTCATTAAACTCTTTCCCATCTTGATCACACTCTGATGTGTTTTCATCTGTGAAATGGTCTAGGGTCTAATGTGAAATGGTCTAATGTAAAAGACCCCAGCATTTTAGTGGGCATCCATCTTTTTCTCTTTTCCTTCCTAAGCAATGTGGTGATCTACCCAGAACTAGTCTGGCCATGACTTTTGATTTACCTGAATGAGACATGAGATGGCTCTAGGATGGGATTGAAAGAGACATTCAATCTGACAGGATTCCTATGGCATGCAGAAGTCTCACTAAAGAAGAGGTTTGGAGCATTAATGTATATCTGTTCCAATATATATCATAGAAACACCATGACCTCCCTGTGGTTTCCTTCCACAGAAAATGCACCCTGAGGCTATGAGTTTGAGAAGTTACTTTCAAGAAAGAATTAGTTACAGAGTTCCAAGATCCAATGGTGTGAAAGCAGTGTTATGGTGTAAAAACAACTCTGATATTTATCAAAAGTAACTAAAGTTACATAAAACAATATCTGAATGCTACAAGCCACTGGCCTATAATTCAAAATGTAACTTAGTTATGCCATAGTTATTTGCAAAATGAATTGGATAGAAGTAGCTTCATATTTGCAAATAGTTTCTTCCAAGCTGTGATGAGCACAGTATCTCTGAAATTTCTGAGCCCTTGTAGGTGAGGTGAATGTGCATAACAGTACTCCAGATTAGTAATAACATCTCTTAGAAAAAGTTAAGGGTAGAGTTTGGGAGAAAAAAGATATGAAAGGCAAGATGCAAACCCAATAAATCTATAATAGCCTTGTAAACTGGAATAATATTGTTAACCTAAAAAATGTTGGGGTGGGCATCCACCTCAGTTGCACCAAACATTATTTTAAAAAATAACTACCTTTTAGAGCCCCTCCAGATGAGGGAAAATATGTCTAAGAGCCTTATTGCATGACAAAAGAAAATCAAGACCAAGCCTTGCCTCTCTGCATGCTGTCCTAGCACTTCGATTATCCTTCCCAAGGGAGATGGTCATAAAAGCATGCCTTTTTCCAAACCAATTTTTCCAGTGAGACAAAAGGCACACTTTTACTATTGTCTCCTTCAGGAAGAGCAGATAAGTGCTACGACTTCATGCAGAGAGGCATGGAGAACCTGCTTCTCTACTGTTCCATCTTAGCTTTCTTCTGTCATGCAATAAGGTTCTAAAAGCCCCAGGTTTTGCTCCTGTACAAACCAATTTTATCCTGGAGGTGATTTTTTTTTAAATCCCACATTGTTTTCTCTGGCAATTCCTAGCATTATCAAGGACTTTGCTATTCTACTTCCCAGATCAGTTTAAATTAACCCAATATTTTCAGAAATGAAATGTGTCTCTACTGGACTGTCTGTTTTTATTATTCTGCAACTAGCTAAGATTGCTGCCACTGGGAAAACATACATATTGTTTCCAGGTCACAGATTCAACTGAGATCAAATTAATGGGGGAAAGGGATGTTTGCACCAAAACAAAATTATTCCAGTGTGTAATGTAATATTGCTAAAGCCCTTTAGCAGCTTGACTGTGCCTCCTGAGTAATAGTGAAGAAGGTTCAGTGTAAATGCATGGCAATCAATTTCTGAAATGTTGCATGAGTCTATATATAATATGTGATTAGGGAGAGGAGAAAGAACACAGGTGGCAAGGGAAAGGGAAGGAAACCTGGGACATTTCAAGCAAGAGTTTGGATGCAATCCTGGGAATATGCAGGTAAAATCAAAATGAAAGAAATGGAAAGTCTCCATACTTCCAGAGATTTCCCCCTGCTTCTGGATTTAGGGTTTATAAAGCTCCTCTTCTTGTAGCCAGCAACTCAAGTAGCCAAAATTCCGCACACATCCATGCTACCTTGAGTGCACAGAGGAACGTTTTTAGCAATAAATAAATAATCCCCTTCCAAAATATGGGGACTTGAGGGTCTGAAAAACATGTGACTCACAGGTTGGGCTTTCCTTATGCTTGTGAAAGGAGGTGAGGGAGAGAGAAAGAAAAAGGAAAGTGTTTGACTCTAAGGACTTTATCACATGTGGGCCAGAAAGCGATAATAAAGTGGAAATGAG